CAACATCAAAGGCAGCCGCAGCTCTTTGATGTGGCAGCATGCTGTTTAAGGTACAGAGTGAATGGAGAGATGTCAAGCTGCAAGGTGCCTCTGTAGTTTACGTTGAGTGCTGCAGAAAGCTGCAGATGAAAGGAGCAAACAGAGTTTGATAATGAATGTCCAACAAGTAGGACCCATCTCAGACAGCGCACACTCAGCAGGGTGCCTCCGCTAACCTTGAGCGCAGCACCCCAAACCTTGGGCAGACACGGGAGACCAGACTCCATCAACTTTGCCTCTCCTGAAAAAAGGGGGGCTCTCAGATGTGAGCTTTAATCTTCCTGTCAATTAAATCCTGATTGACACACACACCCATGCACACATGGTCATGCACATGTGCTCCCCTTAGCCAGTTACCTTTAAAAGAGATGCCAGCCACTTCCTCTGCTGAATGCCTCTCTTTCTGGCTAGGAGAGGCCATTTCTAATTATACACTAATCCTTCCAATGTATGAGTCAATTTGAGGCTTGATTGGCTGCATTGCTACAGTATTGCTGCACATAATGATCCTCTTACAGTTAATGTCTCCATTAATCAAATGAGGTAATCCACCTTTATTCATCATGCCCTCCTCAGGGAAATGTGAGATTACAGGTTGTTAATGTGTAATTTCCAGTTTTTTTTATGTGACATCATTGATAAAGTGGCTTCTCATTGCTTGTATTAAAGGGCAGAATGATTTTTATTTCATCATTTGTTAGAGGACTGGGACTCCCCACTGTTGTTTGCTTAGTTTAAGTTTGGTGTCTATAAATGTTGATAAATCAGAATATTATCATTAAGTTGTAGCTCCACCCTTTGCAAATTACTATGTATATATGTATAGAACAACTTAAAACATGTAAAATATAACAAGTCTGTGCCTTTTTAACATAAACAGCAAGCACTGTATTCATCCCCATCCTAACTCACTTTCTGATACCTGAATGCATTACTGTTACTGCATTAGTGTTAACTGTGTGTTACTCTGGGGATATAGGAACGGATCTGGGAAAAACAACATAAAACAATGTTTTACAGCATTTTTTTTCATAGTTAGGAACGCATTTATACCTGAATTAACAAGGTTAAGTAAGTTTGGTAATTTAAAGGACAGGTTTACATTTTTAAAATCTGTCTTAACTACCTCTTTATTTTACTATCCCACCGCTGACGCTGAGCAAGCAAACACTTAGCAACAGAAATTGATACTAATGACCTTAACTTTGTATTTTTTCACAGAATGAAGACCTTGGACTTTGTCCCCTATCTCTTACACTGGAACAAATGAGACTTTTTCATGGGTAGCAACCAATAACTCTTTAAATACACATCTGGGTGCTTGTATAATGTATTAAGATAGTCTTCAAAAAATGGGCACCTACCTTTTAAGATTGATTGATCACTTCATCGATACAAACACACATGTTGTCATATGCAGTTTCCACTATGAGGATAAAATAAAGTTTTTATTTTGGGTTGACTGATTGATTGAATCTTTAATAAATGTATTATTATGTGTACTATATTGATGTCACTAAACTACTGCTCTGTGTGCAGAACAGCTGTGCATTCTTTTAAACTTCATAATATCAAAAAATAAATAATCATTTCTGAACATGAAAGATAGTTGGCTATGTATAACGACTTGCCTGTAGATTTACTTCAGAATACATGAGACATGGTGATTTGCTTTTGGGAGTTCTGAATCTCTGGCAAACCAATCAGCACACATACAGTACATCAGTGCACCTGGCCTAACACTGAGCTCATCGCATGTGCTTTTGATATCTGCACAGAAAGAATGCACAGCGGTGAAATGACTGGAGCCAAAGTATTCCATCTCTGCTATGAGAGAGGGAAGGATCCAGCACAGAACTGCACTCTTATTCATTGACATACAGTTTAAACTGACTTGGTGGACAGGGTTAGTGCTGGGCAGCACCTTTAGTGGAATACCCAGAGCTGAACTGACTCCATATGGATCAAGACTTAACTTTCATGCCCAGTAAATTGCAAGCTGAGGAGTAGGTCCTCCAGGCCCTCCAATTTTAAGTCAGTCTGTCTGTGGTGGAGACATTAATACTTTATTCTATTACAATTCTCAATACTACTAACTACTAATAACTATTTCTACTAAACAGGTTAAAAGATCACTACAGTCATAATGACAGAAGTTATATCGCCAAAATGCACAAAACTGGAGCTGTATATTTTCCATGTTTTGACTCAGAGCATTAAGAAATTCTGTTGTTGCAAGAGAGGACAGAAATATTCAGATATCTTTTGGGATTATTTCTGATTTTTCTTTATTGACAATTTCTTACCTTCTTGTTTCTTATCCATTCAAACCTGTCTGGACTCCCTACTGTGATTTGGATGACAGAGTTCCACGTTAGGATGCCTGACAGAGAGTACTCTGCATTACACTCCCCTCGGTAGAGTTCCCCGTTTCTTAGACAAGAAAACGAAGAAGAAGGAAACAAAGAAACTCTTTTTATAAAGTTTTATTCTAGTCTGTCTTTCATTACTTATATCTTTGTGTTTGAGAATTTTGCCCCACAGGGCATAGTGAAGAAACTGTCACAGCTTGTGGTGGGAGCACAGGAGGGGAGGACACAAGTGCAGACACACAAGCAGACAGGTGCAGTGAAGGAGCTTTAGTACATTAAGTGATGAGGACCAGGCTTATAGACAGATGGATGGACAGGCAGGCAGGCAGGCACCGACAACAGGTAACTTCATACAGGTAGCTTGAACGAGAGTCCACAACATGAGCAGCACAAGGGGAAATGCACAGACATTACCAAACGATCTGGCAACTGACTGGGGAAAAAGGTTTTCACTAGGCAAGAAACTTTGGGCAGATGGCCCAGTGGCTGGAGGAGAACTGGTGAGATGAGCTGCTCCAGGGGACAGCAAGAGCAGGGTACTGGGGTTTAGAGCAGGCAGCCAGCAACAAGGAGGCCAGACAGTCCAACAGGTGAAGTTGGAAACCAGACGCAATGGTGGCTAGCAACTGCAGCATCGGGCAGAGAGTCTGACAAACAGGGGCAGGATCAGAATGGAGGCTAGCTTGCTTGGATCAGGTTGGAAGTTACAACGCTGCTGGCTATCTGACTGGGATGCATGCAAGCGACTGGCAGGCCCTGAAGCTAGCTGGTACAGAAGCAGGCCCGAGGCTGCATGTCTGGTGCTATTTGACCTTGAGACAGACTGAGGGCTAGCCGACTGGGTTGCAGGGTGGAGGTTACCACATTGGAGCCTATAGCCCACTGGGAGGTAGGCTGGAGGCTAGCTGGCCAGAGGTGTGCTTGCTGGGTAACAGGCTGGAGCCTAGCAGGCCTGGGTCTAGCCTCAGGAGACAGACTGAGAAGCAGGTTTCTGGAAGGCATGCAGCATGGCTGTACAGGTGGTAAAGGTGATAGGCCTTCAAGAAGCAGGACATGGATCAGGGCTGAAAACAAACTACCACCTGTAGAAGGCGAATTTAGTGTCCCACTTCCAAAAGGTATACTAGTATCTCCAGTAAGTTTGGCATTTTTCATTAAGAAAAGTGACTGTAGATATTCCTAAGTCCTCCAAGGTAAATGGCAAGCCAAGTAGGAACTTGTTTGCTGGGTCCATTTTAGGCTAGATTGTACTGTCACTGCTTGTGGTAGGAGCATAGCAGGGAGGACCTAAATGCAGACACACAGGCAGGCTGGTGCAATTAAGAAACTTATAAATATATTAAGTGTCGAAAACCAGGCTTACAGACACATGAATGGACAGGCAGGCAGGCAGGCACAGACAACAGGTAACTACATATAGGTAGTAGGAATGGGAGTCTACAGCATGAGCAGCATAAAGGGACACAGTCAGAGATATTAGAAAAGTCCAGGTAGAAATACTGGGAGCTGGTGTAAATACTGGGAGCAAATGAGGGACAGGTGTATAGGTAGGTGAGTGACTGGAAATGGGAAACAGGTGAACAGGTGGATCTGAAAACTGTCTGGGGACATCTGGTGCATGGATGGAGTACGACAAGAGGCCAATAAAAAGGGCTGAGATAGAAATTCTGACAGGAACAATAAACAAATCATGGTACTCAGGAGGAAACTTTAATAACAGTAATGATAAATCATCTGACTGTCCAATAAGTCAGCCTTGCACCTATTTTATCTTGACATCAAAGAGTGCAGGGGGAGTAAGCAATTACAATGAAGCTTACATCAGATATACAGCATACTGGCTAAGTTGCAGGTTCTTAGTGGCAACAATATTATTACTATTGAAACACTGTAGAATTATTACCATACTATGATGATCATATTTTCTGATTATTTCCTACAAACCATTTAAGAACCTCTCATAACAGCTTGTAATCATTCCAGTAAAACCACAACTGACTGTACATTGTACAAAAAGAAAATACTGGGGTGTGGTTAGTATGAAGAAATAAAGAAATGTTACAAAAAGAGGAATAATGAAATGTGTGAAAATGGAACTAAATAAAAGAAGTTCCAGCCTATTGAACAAACCAGAATGGTTCATTTATGCAACAGTTCCATCAAGTGGTTGTATGAGCAAATTGCAACCAGTAAGAAATTACCAACATGGACTTAACGGTTTTCCCTATCAATAATTTCTGCTGGTATTTCTTGTAAATATGTAAAAATTAACTGATTCTGTTCAAAGCTTCTGCTTTTTAAAAATTCAATCACTGTATTTCTAGATGCTGTGCCTTCACCCTGAAAACCTCAGGCAAGAAGATGTGCAAATGCCATTGCATGTCAGTGAATAGTAGTCACTGGTATGTGGCAAACTATATTTAACTTTGAATATCAAGAAACTCCCTTTTGTGATGCAAATGTATTACAGTGCATGGGAAGTTAGTCCATGTGGTTTCAACAGTGTCATTTGCTGGCAGGATTTAGTTTCCATTTTACAGATGGGACTTGGTAGCAGAACAAGCTTTGCTTTCAGCTGTGGAATGAGGAAGAGGAAAGTGTAAGGCAGTGCAGTGTATCTGCGCAAAAGACAGAAGGAAGGAAGAAAGCTCTGTGTGGAGACTCTAAAGTGAGTGATCATTTTACCATGACATTAACTGTGTGTTGGATGCGTTAGCTTGTTCTTTTTTGTTTGTAAATGTTTTAAATGAATGTGTAACACTAATAACACAAAAATGGTCAGTGTGTGAATGAATAACAAAAAAGCTACAATGTTCTTAATTAAGGATACTGATTTTGCTGTATTTGATGTAAAGGTACAATATGAGTGAGACTGATAGTAGCAGCATAATGACGTGACGAAGTGATGCTAGAAGCAGCTGATGTTCATGTTGGATGTCTCTGAATATGGAAGCCATCAGTCTGAAAGCATGCTTGCCCAGGAGCTTGTACTGAAACAACGGACAGAGATACTCCATGCACTGTGCAGCAGTGGGTCAGCCGAACATCTGGAAAGGGTTTTGGATATATTGCTGGCCCAGGGGGAGCTTATATGGGAAGACTACCAGAACATACAAGTACCGGGTAGAACACTGTATACCAATGCCAGACAGTTGCTCAACCTGGTTTACACAAAGGGTGTGGCTACCTGTGAGCTCTTCCTTACTGCTCTCAAACAGGTTCTGCCTGAAGGGCACCAAGCTGCACTCTCCTTCTCGGGATGCTGTTTAAATCTAGAAAAAAAAGAAGAATCTCAGAACACATCTACTGAGAGTCTTCTGACTCGTAGACCGAGCCTTGTCAACAGGCTAAAAGGCTGCATTGACGGTGCTCTCGAGGCTCTGGTTGTATCTGGACACTTCACTTCAGAAGACTGCAATGAAGTGCGGCTTCCTGTACACACCCCCTCTCAGCAGGTACTGTACATAGTTACTTTATATTAAAGGTATAATATGTAACTTTTTTTGCATTAAAATGTATAAAAACAATTGGAGTTGTGTACTTACATTATCACAAATGTTGCCAGTAATTTTTATACAGAGAAATCTGTCATTTTAATCAAGGTAATGGTCCATTTCATTTGTCTGCCTGTCAATGGTGTCATATGTCCTTTGTGCAGGCATCAGCATGTTAGTCTACCAGAAGCAGTCAAAGTGGACTGTTTAGATCTTTAATTTTCCACCATATATTTTAACAGGATGAAGGATTGTAGTCATTGAATGTCTGGATGTTAAGTTAAGTTTGGAAAACAGCTAGGCTGGCTCTGTCTAGATTTAAGGTTAGTCAATTTTAGAGGCACTGGTAATCAGACTGGTAAGGCTTGCTTTTTCCCAACATTTCCTGTCTTTGTGCTAAGCCAAACTATCTTAATATTTCATCTCAATCTTTTTACTAACTCTCAGCAAGAACATTTCAAAAACTATTCCCATAATAATGAATCTGTTGTCATTCGCATGTCAATCAGGCAAGGCGTCTGCTTGACCATGTCCGATCAAAAGGCGAGTCAGCGGCAAAGGTGGTCCTGTATTACATTCAGCAAAAGCATGAATCTGGATCCCCACTGAACCAGGAGAAATTAACTCCCCCAAAAGGTATGTCATAATCATATTGAAAACTATTATGGTATGTAAATATACAGACATCATTACTATGTGAATCTATTTGCAGGCTAAACCTATAGCAGATGCACTTCCTTGTTTAAACTTGTGGGTGCTTTGCCTAAAATATAAAAGATTTAGTGGTGGTACACAGAGATGACTCATTCAAAATGTGGTAAGACCTATACAAATGCACAGTATGTATCATTTTGCAGTGCTATGTACAATTAATTAATTAATTAATTAATACAAAGTTTATCTCATGTGTGCGCTTTCTGTCACAGAGTTCTTAAAGTATCAGAAGAAGCTGAGCAGTTCTGTGTCTGCCCAGTCCTGCTTTCTCAGTACTTATGGAGGGACTGGCCACATGTCCTTGGATGACATCTACACTGAAGGCGAGCTGGAACTAGCTCATGACAGTGCTAACGTCCATGGACCTTTGGGCCTGGAGGACATAGTTGGTACAGCGGGGACAGTGAACAAGGAGGCTGACACAGTGCTAGTATCTGGGGAGGCGGGCAGTGGAAAGAGCACCCTACTCCAGAGGCTGCACTTGCTTTGGGCTCGGGGGGCAGCCCTCCAGGACTTTCTGTTTCTGTTTCCATTCAGCTGTCGCAGGCTGAACTCAGAGCACAGGGAACTGTCTTGCCAAGAGTTGCTGTTTCAGCACTGCTGCTGGCCAGATAGGCAGCAGGAAGAGATCTTCCAGTTCATCGTGGACCACCCACATCTCATCCTCTTCACTTTTGATGGTCTGGATGAGCTCAGGCAGAGCTTTTCAGATGAGCACAGGCTCTGCTGCCCCACCCAGCGCGCACCTGTTCACATACTATTGTTCAACTTAATCCAAGGTTGCCTAATGAAGGGGGTGTGGAAAGTGGTAACTAGTCGTCCAGAGGCAGTGGGGCCTTTGTTGAAGAAACACCTTCGCAAAGAGGTTCTCCTGAAAGGTTTTTCCCCAAGTGGGATTGACTGTTTTGTGAGGAAGCATCACACTGACCCCACTGTGGCTGTTAAGGTTTTGGAGTCACTACAGACAAACACAGCTTTACTTGGGCTGTGCCATAGTCCAGTCCTCTGTTGGATTGTCTCACAGTGCCATAAGGAGCTGCTGGGCTGTGGAGAGGGCAGTCTACAAACAATCACAGATGTTTACCTGATGATCTTACAGCACTTTTTACAACACCAAAGCATCCCAAAGAGCACTATGGGGTTAGGTTGGCTTCAGGAGCACCTAAAAACAGTCTTGCGTCTAGGCAAGCTTGCCATTGAGGGGATAGGAACCACCTGTTATATCTTCTCATGTACAGACCTGGAGACATGTGGTGTAACTGAGAAGGATATCAGCATGGGCTTTCTCATTCAAAGCAAAGATATGTCCTCCACCCACAGTAAATGTTATGAATTCCTTCATGTGACCATGCAGTGTTTCTTTGCTGCTTTGTACATCATTTTGTCGAGTAACACTGAACGTTCAACTATCCTTAAAATCTTTGAGCTGCAGGACATGAGAGAGACAGGTCTGAGCAGCAATTGCTTCAGGTCCTGCTTGCCCACCACTGACCGACGAGAGCAGGTTCTACGGGGGGAAGTTAAAGCAGCTGAAACACCAAATCTGCAAATCACTGCCACCTTCATGTCTGGACTACTGTCCCAGCGCCATCGCAGCCTGTGGCTCCACTGCTGCCCCAGTGCTATGATGGAAAAGAAGGTCAAACAGGTTTCGAGATGCCTGTCCAAAGGCATGCAGAAACACTTTAAGTCTATCCCTCAACCTGTAGCAGGCGAGAAAAAGAGCATGCATGCAATGCCAGGCTTTGTCTGGCTTATCAAATGCATCTATGAGATGCAGGAGAGCACAACTGCTCAAGATGCTATCAGTAAGCTAGAAGTGGACCACCTGAAACTCACCTACTGTAACATAGGTCCTGTAGAGTGCACTGCATTAGCATATGTGCTCCAGCATCTAAGAAGCCCTGTAGGCATCCAGCTGGACAACAACTCTGTAGGCGATGTTGGAGTGGAGCAGCTTCTTCCCTGCCTGCACATTTGTGATTCCCTGTAGTGAGTATGACAAGTTTAAGTTATTCCATTATTTATTTTCCATTGTTAACCTTTAGCAATCTTTTCATTATAGTGAACAAACTTCCCCTAATAGTATGTTCTGTACTATGCTTAAGTGTCCTATATTTTCTGTTATCAGCCTCAGAAATAACAACATTACAGATGAGGGCATCCGCAAACTGATTGCTAAAGGTATCCAGTGTGACAACTTCCGGAAAATTGCGTACGTACTGTCAAGATGATTAATAAGACTACCATGAAGTTACAAATGATATTTGATCATTTACATTCCATAATCATTTTGTTTCTCTCTAGGCTCTTCAACAACAAGCTAACTGATGCTTGCACACAGCACTTTTCTCATCTTCTGAAGACCAGGCAAGATTTCCTCTCTCTAAGGTCGGCACATAGAGTATTTTCAGCAGTCATCAGATGTGGCACAAATATGGGCCTGCACTAGTAACTATGTGAGTCTGTGTGGTTCAAAAGGAATAACAAATAGGCTTGGCTATTTTCTTTCAGGCTAGGCAACAATAATATAACAGCAGAAGGAGCAAAGCAGCTGGCAGAGGGACTGAAATCCAACCATTCAATGCAGCATTTAGGGTAAAAATATTCCTGCAGACATCCATGCATCTTATTGGTGGTGCATTTCCATTTACTAATGTTTCTTTGTATTCCCAGGCTTTGGGGCAATAAGATAGGTGATGCAGGAGCAGAGGCCCTGGCCAGTGCACTAGAGAACAGCAAATCTCTGTTGTGGCTAAGGTAATGTTTGCTTTAAATATTGGCATGTTAGGTAGACTTAAGACAGTGTGGAAAATATTTTACAAATGAAAAAAGTATTAAAATATGCCCCACTTATGTGTGAGGTTACATAATGTTCACAAATGTATATACAGTGTATATCTGTTGTACAATATGTTTCTGTAAGTTGCCAGATATACATCTCTGCATGTTTTGCTTATTGGCAATACATCTTCCTGCAATTGTGGAATACTTTACTTTAGTATAACTCTCATTTTATGCAGCCTGGTAGGTAATGGTGTCGGGAGTGCAGGAGCATGTGCCCTCGCCAACATTATCAAGAACAGCACGTCACTGGAAGAGCTTTGGTAAGTGTTGGAGGCAACTGGTAACTGTAATGACAAAGCACATGACATTTGTATTAACCGAATGGCTGATCTGACATTTGAGCTCTCACTGAACAGTAGTGCTTTACACTCCACCCTCTCATTTCCTGTAAAAGGTTGACAGAGAACTGCATAACCAGAACAGGAGTGGAATGTCTGATTCAAGCCCTAGAACACAATACTCATGTGAAATCAGTATGGTAAGTAATGTACTCTGAGCCATATACTCATAAATACAAAGGTTGCCACTGTTTCTTATGTGGTTAGTGCATGTTGTTGGTGGTTGTTTGCATTATGCATTTGGAGCAGTGCATGGTCATGCTGCTAGTTTCAGTGCCAAGGAAAACAGTGATTGTTGACACGGCTTCCTATTCTGGCTATACTAGAATGTTATTTTAACTTCAAACTTCCTTTCCATTTCCAAACTGGCTGTACATTGTCATTGATTGATTTTGTTTTTTTCCTCTTACACTGCAGGTTGAGAAACAATGAGCTCAGTTTGGAGGAGGAAGAGGAGATGAAACAACGTGAATCAAGACTGATCTTCTGATTTTGTATTAAGCTGACTGAGAACTATGTATTGTTTTACAAACTGTTTGTATTTCATATTTATATTTTATATATATATTTTATATTAAAATGTGAAATGTAAAATATGTTTGATAAAGTGTATCACAGTTTCTCAGGTCTAAATGCCACTATTCAGGGTTTATCTGAACACACAAAATATATTCACCTTTGTTTTAGTTTCTTTTGTGGGTATAGATGGTGATGGGATCACATGCCACATACCACCAGTATCACTGTCACCACCACCACTACTACTACTACTACTACTACTACTACTACTACTACATTTATTTATATACATTATACATTTAACTGACAGCTATAGTTACTAATTTCTAAATTCAAACCCACAACGTATGATTATCTTAAAATGTATGACACATTATTATATATTAAACCTCCCAGCAGTATATGAAGCAATGGGAAGTAGCTCTACCTCAACTACCTGCAAAATGGAAATGCTTCTTACATACATTATGAGTGCATCATTAATAATAATCCAATAATATGATATTTATTTCATATTATTTAATATATTACACTGAAAGAAGCCTATTCTGCATTCTGCTTTTACTTTTGATTCTAAAGACATTTAGATACCCATAATACTAAGGTAGTTTTAACTAGGTAACATTTTGAGTGTTTACCTGTTATAGAGGAGATTTATAATTTAGTGTTGCTTCTTTTATTCAAGTAAATATTCTACAGTAAATACCTCAGAGACTCAGAAACAGCATCATCTGCCCTGGATGCTACACTTCAACCTAACTACGTGTTCTGCCATCCATGGGAAAACCCCATAGAGTGGGACATTTGTATAGACACGATGAACAGCCAATCAGCGCCTGAGAATGAAGCGCATGACCAATGCCTGTCTGTGAATGCAATAACGTCATGCATTAAGTTTAGTGAGGTCGTCTCCTGTAAATAATATATCTCATAGCTGTAGCGATACACTGTATAATTTCACTTATTTCCCATGGATAACAGATTTATCTAAATGCTATTAGTATACTGTATGGGGTGGCAGTCCACTGCCAGCCTGCTTGCTGTTGTCCAGCTCGCTAGGCTAACTTTGGCGTGATACTTAGCTGGTTAGGACGCTAGCATTAGCTAGCTATTTAGCTAATCAGAGGTTAACTGGCATTACGGGAGAAATCCAGCTTGTTTTAGGGGCCTGTATCTAATTGGGATGGACATTTGAAATGACAGTCATCTGCAGCCTCTAACTGAAGTGACGCGTATCAAAGGTAAGGGGACCATGCCATTAACACTGAATGAAAGTGTCTATTTGTTGCATTTAAAGGCTACGGTACGTTAGCTACTTCCCTCTCTTAAAGGGCCTTTGACTGACAGCTCTTGCCTGGTGATGACACACTGCTGCTCTGGTTGTCAGGGAAAACGTTCATTAAAACGAGTTATGATGTTGTCAGTGACACTGGAATAAACAGAACTGTAAACGGGTCTGTGGTTGTCACCTCAATGACCGTGCTAAATAAATGTCAAATCGGGTAAGCTCTAGTTCGTGTTAGGTTGAAATTACATTAAATTTTCTACTTGTTTCTTAGCTGCTTCTTAGCCTCAATACCGTTGTCTTAGTAGCTACTCTGACGATACATGATTTTTTTTAAAACAATCGAGTTAATATTGTAAACCAGCTTCTGCTGTCATGCTTAAAAGAAATGATGGATAGTGTGAGTTCTTTACTGTGACGGGTGCTTGATTTTCATGTCTGAGGTGTCATTAGGGGAAATCCATTCGCCTCATATTAGTGTTGCAACTGTGTGTCAGAAGAACTGAACTGTCTGCTCACCGTCTATTTTTAGAATATTCAAATCAGTAGATACGAGTAATGTCACACGAGGTCCTGCTAATATCAGGGAAACTGCACAGAGATGACTGAGCAGAGAGAGGGAGAGTACACTGCTGAGACCATCGCGACATTTCACACAACAAACCACAACAAGCAAACTGGACCAGAGAATTGTGGGTTAAAGATTAGTAATTGAGATTAGTTTAAAAAGACCTCGGAGATTTTAACCTATGTTTTTCTGTCATAATTATCATTTATAATTTACCTGTTATCATTAATCATAATTCCTTATCCATCGCCTTAATGTAGTTACAACCGTTTTAGATCATGCTCAGTCATGATTAGTAGTTTATTATTTCAGTGTGGCTCATCAGTCATCCATTTACAACTGATTTATGAAACTATATCCAGTTGTTTATGTCGAAGCCTGCTTTTAGACAAAAGAAACAAAAATTATGCTAGTTTCTATGCTAAGGAATGAGATGAGGAATGCAGTGGTACTAATGTAAATACTATTTGTGTACTGTACTTAGAGTTACACTATTACACTATTACACTTTTACTTTGTACTTTTGTTTTACCTGTTGTGGTATGCTTCAGCTGTCTCAACAAAAACACACATGGGGCTACGTACTGTATGTGCAGTTATATATTGTGTTGCTGTCAAATATATTTGTTGGTTTGTCTGTTACGCCATTTTAATTATCTGTACGCTGCTAATATGGGGAATATTTTATTTTTATGTATTTATGTATTTTATTTATACCACTCTTGCTCTTGTTATTTTAATTGTACCTGTCTATTGACGTTTCAGCATAAACTGGTTTGAATACATTTTTTTTTAGAGATTGTGTGTTTGTTCTTTTTTACCACAGACCACAGGTCAAGCTTGCCTTGATGTTGGACCTCTTGCCTAGCATGCAGCCATGAGCTCTGTCCTATGGAGCCAGGAGAAGCCCAGTGGGGGCTTCAGGGAGGACTGGCGCTTCTACATGGTCGTGAAGGAGTGTACAGTGGAGAAGCCTCCCCAGAAGACCCTGAGGATCCCACGTGGCAGTCTTGGCCAGGCATGCCAGGAGCGCAACAGCCTGGGGAGAACACTGCCCCCATGCAAAGGCAAAAAAAGTCTCCGCATTCTGGACCAGACCAACGTGGTGCTGAGCCTGGATGAGCGGGACGTCCAGGAACTGGATGAGAAGCTGGCTGAGCTGCTGTTCCCCATTACCAACTGTGAGGAGAGATATGCCCTGCTCTGCAACAAGTCACGGCTAGAACGCGTCTGTGATATTGACTGTGGATCCAAGGTCCGCGTCCAGTTGCGCTCAGGGGATGAACCTCTGCCTGGTGTGGTCCGCTTCAAGGGCTCGCTGCTTCCTGACAGGGCACTCTCTGGAATCTGGTTTGGAGTGGAGCTGCTGGTGAGAACTCTTGTGTTTTGGTTTTTTTTGCTCTCTTCTTGTGGCAATGTTGATCTATTCAAAGATGCTTATCATTATTATTATTATTATTTTTGTCTTTGTTCATTGTGCATCTTTATTGTCATTGCATTAAAAACACAATGAAATTAAGTTTGGCAGCAATCCTCTTGGCAGCATATGTTAAAATAAATAAGACTAAAATGGAATAATAGAAAAATTAACTCCAGTGTTAGAGATTTATGAAGTTACACAGTACAAATTAGACAGTTTCCTCTTTTAGGATAGGTATTGTTGATGCTTAAATTTGATTCAGATTATTTTTATAATAACACGACAAAAAGAAAAACAGGGACAAGAAAATGAGTTTAAGCTTCCAGTAGAACCACATCTTGAAAACAATTGGTATAGATGTGGAACCAAAAGTAAAATTACAACCAAACACCACTGTGATAGTAAATGCATTTTTATAGGAAACAGTTATTAATGGCATGAGTCTGATAATTGCAAACTAGCTGTCAGTGTTGGAACACAGGTTACATCTGTGTCTGAATGGCTTGTGTACGTTCCTTTCAGTCTTATCTGACACAATAGAAGCAGCTAGTAACTGGTTCTTGAGAGCTTTCTTAAAACAGGTGACTTTGTGTGACCCAGGTAACATTTAAAAACTTGCTGTCTTTATTACGGAGCTCCCCTTGTGTCATCTGACGAAAAAACACCCACGTCATGTCTAAATCTGTGCTCTCAGTTTACAAATCTGTGCACATGGATTACAAATCCGAGAACGTGGTTTATTAACTGATTTACACATGGCTCTTATTTTTTCTCAGCTGACCCAATGCGGTCTCTGTACTTTATATATTGGGAACAGAAGTATAACCATTTCTGCTTACCGCTAGCCTTCATTAGTGAAAGTGCTTATGACATTTGCAATGAAGTGTTTGTACTGCTGTTCCTAATAAATAAGGCACAAAGAAGTGTGTGGTTTTGCTGGAATCCATGTCATCTTGTACTTGTATTGTTTGAAAGTTTTAAATACAACTTTTGAAAATAACAAAGTGCACTTTGAAACAAATCAGATTATTTGAGAACTAATTTGGTGACTATTGAGAGCGATTTGTACAGAGAACAAAGCAGTACTGCTAAGGCAGAATGAAAAGCTGAATATTCACAGTTCATCATATACATTTTTATTTGTGGAAAATGCACTGTTAAATTAAGTATTAAGTACTTTCATTTGGTTGTTTGGCTTCAAATTTCTTCACAAATTTAATAAAGTTAGAGACTGGCTACAAATGTTATTTTAGTGAAGGCTGAAACAAAGAAGAAATGACAACATTTTCATTTGAGTCCTATTATTCCTTTAATCGCAATACTAAATTTAATCATTCAATGTCATACCATTCATTCTGTACCGTATGTACAATAAGTAACAAAATACAAAGGCCTGCTTTATTGTAGCACAATGTTGTTTTTATTCTACTCAGTTCAGCTGTAGTTTTCTTGAGTGGGCTGATGGAGCTCAAGCATTCAAACTGTAGCTCAGTATAAAGGCCTCAGAGTTTGCACATATGCTTCAGACAGAATTCTAATTTTATGCCCCTTACCAAATAGAGATCACTGTGTTCTTTTTGCTAATATATGCCAGCAATTACAGTGATTTGGCACATTTTAATATCTAAAGCCTGCATGAGAGAAAATAAGCACAATATGTAACAGTAGGGTTGTGAGAACATCCTGCACCATGCTTGAAATTTTTTAATGTATT